GTTTTTTTGTTTTTTTAAAAATCAACATCACAAATCACCGTCAAATTTTGAAATTAGCATATTTACAATTGACAGATTATTATTCAACAAAATGATCAATTAAATAAAATCTGACTGTAAACAATTACATTAGAATAGCTAGGTAGGTTTTATAAAGCCATATTTTAAATGATGCTTTCTTAATTAAAAAAATCACAACTTAAAAAATTCCATGCGTTCTTATAAAAAAAAACCTGTAAAATGTATTTGGTAAAACTACAGACATAAAATTTGAGATTTTAGGCCACAGAGTACTAAAAATTTTGACATTTATTTTTTGACATTTGACATTTTTTTTAAGTCTATTTAATAATACTGATGACTTTGTATATGTTTTTTTATAATTATTTAGTAAAGGTACAAAAATTTTGTCAATAAAAGCCACAAATAACATTAAACAGAGTTACAGTTTAGGATACAGCTTCCTTGTTTCTGCTTCTAATAGCCTATAGCAAAAAAAACTTGGAAAATTATTTTTCCTACAGAAATAAATAGTCAAAGTGCAAAATTTGAACCTTCATAACTTTGAAATTTTTATAAGTAGAATTTTTTTTTAATTTTATCTATGTTTCTGGTACCTTACCCTACATTTGTCTTTGGGGCGTGAGTTCTGGCGCACTCTGTATGTGCATATAATGTAAAACTCCTTCAACTTTTAGAATCGTGATATCTCAGGAAAGGTGATTCTTAGAAAAAAAGTATAAAGACCATTTTTGTAGATAATTTTAAGATCTATAATTTTTGTCTGATCTACTTTTTTGTTAAACTTTTTTGACATTTGACCCCGAATAACTTTTTTAGCAGACATGGGATCGATGGGGACTTTTGACACTTTATTTCTCATGGTGTACTCAAGGTCTCCATCAAAATTTAGCTCTGTCGGAATTTTCGTTATTTGACCACTATTTTTATGACTAATTTGACCGGACTATAAACACAAATGACAAAAAAACTGTTACCATTCAATCAAAGATTCGTGTTGAGCTTCAGCTGCTTGAATGTTAGATTCTTCTGAAATCTGCGACTGACTCAGTAAATAATTCTGATCTGTATTGTAAGAAGCATCCCGAGGAGATCTTGATTTTCTCCTACTTGTAGATTCCTAATAACACAATTAAGTTATTTTTTTAACACAATGAATTTTACCTGTCCACTCCATTGTTGTTCCAATTGCCAAGGATCTTGATCGCTTAAGTTGGCAAAACCTTCAGGAGAACTAACCGTAGCAGCGAACTGCAAATAAGGATAGTAAAATCATTTAAACATACATTTATTTGCCCATACTTGCGAATATTCAATTGGACCAAAAGATTCAATCATACGATGAAGAGTTTCATCGTCTAAATAAATATGGGTTCTGCTGGTACCAGTGGCTTCGGTTTCTCGCGTTGGAGTTGGTGATTTTGACGGATATGGTGGTCTATACCTCTGAAATTAAGAGTTTTTGATTTTTGATAAATGTTTCAGAAGATTCTTACGTCATCCGGATTCATCTTATTTGTGTGAATTTCAGTTGAGTGGTTCTGTTTATTATAAACGAAAATTTTCAAATTGTATTGTCAAAATAATCAAATGTGACACTTGACGACTTAGTCTGACCATTTTTTTATCCTCATTTTAATGAGTGGAATCACGTCGAAGTAATAAATTTATGTATTAAATCCTCGGTGTAAAACATGACTACATGACTTCTGAATCCAAGAGTATAATCTTGTATTAACCTAAAGTTTTTAATCTCAAGGATTATTTCTGTACCTGAGAGCGACAACTGCCTATTAGTCCATTTTTTTCAAAAAGTAAATAATAGTCAAAAGTGAATATTTAACACACCTTCTATTTCAAATAATGCATAAAATCTTGCAATCGGCATTAATTAATAAAATTACAGATGTTGAAATGTTACAAGTCCAAGGTGATGTTAGAGCGACAAAGTATTAAGCCCAAAGAGAGGTAAATTGTATGTTAAAAATTTGTATATTGTGGAAGCAAAAAACATAAAATCACCATGTAGTAATATGAGTCGGAATAAAATAATGCCAATCGTTTTAATTTTTACGGATTTTTAGAAAACAAGTTTTTCATGAAATTGCAAGAAACAGTTTATTTCCGCTTGCACTGTTCAAAAAAGTATTGTCCGATACTGACCGAGCGAAAATTCAAACATAACAAGATTAAGAAGAACTCTACATCAAAAATTTTATTTCCAAATTGATATGCAAAAAGTCTACAAATTATTTTTTGTCGATTAGTACCGAATTTTTACGCGAAGCTTTCGAACCGTAGCTGATTAAGTATCAAAGCGAAACCCCGAATAATGTAGAAGACAAATTAGAAGACTTTTTGTACATACTTTGGTAGCATTTATTTCTTATGTTTCAAGAAAAAAATGTGATGATTAAAGCTAATTTATTTATAAATTTGGATTCAATTAACAGATATAGAAAATTATATTTTAATACAAATTTCACAGAATTTCAATTTAAGCAGAAAACCAAGAAAATCTTTAAATTTACCATAATCACTCCTTCAACTTAGAAATAAACGGAAACCCATCAGGAAAGCAAAATACATACGATAGCCCAGAGGAATATAAGAACTATTACAGAAATCTTTTTTATTCAAAATGCTAAAAATTTTCTGGAACACAATTAACTTTCCCACTTAATAAATATACCTATTGTTAAAAAAAAAATCATTACAAGTTGAACGCATTAAAGAATAATTTACACCTATGACTTAATTCATTTTAGCCTTTTTGCATATTAAAAAAAAACTTTATATGTTTAGGGCGCTAAAGTATTAAGTCCTTTTAGTGCCTTTTATTCACCATAAATAAAACAAAATCAAATATTTCTTTGTTAACCTATTAGCTTTAAAACAAAATGTTCCAGAACATAATAACGACTCTGAAATGTTAGATAAAATTGTGACATTGGTTTCTAATTAAGAATTTTTGTTTTAAATTATTCCTCAATACTCGTATTAAGCATTTTGAACTTAGGCTGTTTCTGCTCTAAAGTACAAATTTACTTTTGAGTTTTTTTATTTTTTTATGGCTGGTACTTAAAAGGGAAGTAAAATAAAAAAATAATCCACTGATTATTACTGAAAATCTATGTTTTTATTTTATTTTTTATGTTTTTTGTTTGGCAGTGCCTCTGCTGCCGGCGACGATAACCGAAAAAAGAGAGATAACCGCTGGAGTCACCAACTTGCACTGGTTAGTGAAATCGTAACGGTAAAAAATCGTAGGATTTCAGTAACAAATCATGTGGTCAAACCATTAGCGTCAGCGTCAAATGTTCGTTTTACCGTTTAGGACGCCCCTGATTAAATATTACGACATTTAATTTTGGAATTCGTTTAGATGTATAAAGGTTATTAGCTATACCAAATTTTGTAATTTTATCTATTCTGAAATATTGGAAAAAGGCACCCTTTTTAAGGGGTGTAGCTCCGTTACATAGCATTTTTCGAAACATGTTTATTAGAAACTCTTGTTCTAAAATTGAATATTTTATCATCTATTTCAATTAAGATTTTGTATAGGGTGTCCCACCGAGTTGGTAAGGTCCATTATTTGCCTTTAAATCTTGAAATTTTATAAAAACTATAAAAGCAATATTGATAAATACTCAGATAAATATTAATCTAGTGCATTGCCTCCCTCAACTATACCTTCATCGTGTCACAAAAATAACTTACCAACTTTAAGACTATAACATTTTTAAAATGTATTACAGTCAAAAAGTTAAAAAAATGTAGATGTTCAATAATTTAAAAAATTAAAAATGTAACACCCCATTTTTTATTTTTGCATCTAATAAATTAATAAATTGTCTGTCTAAAAAATAAACCTTTAATGTCTAGAATTGATAAGTTAAAGGATATTTAACTTTAAATATTACTTGTAGCAACAATGACCATTGTTGATGCCAAGGCAACCTTAGTAATTTTACCACGGGTCCCTTATTTGGAATTCGTTCAGAGATTGTAGGTAACAGCCAGCATAAAAATTGAAATTCATTGTTTTATTGTTAAAAAAAAAGAATGAAATTGATTCATTGTAACGTAAATGTGATTATTGAGTGATATTTCTTCCATATTCTTTGTGTAAATGTATTCTTTTTGCTTAATTGTTTGTACTTTTTTTTGCAGTTGTAAAAAAAGATCTAGCTGTCTTAGTTTTTGGGTAATAAATTTTTTCATAGAGTATACAGGGTGATTCAAATAAGATAATGGGCCCGACGTTCTGGCGATGCAACCCAAAAAACAAATTTCATTTACGTCTTGAACTAATTTTAATTACGATTTGCATTTGCAATCTAAGTTATCTTATGTTGCTCTGACAGTGCTTTGACAAGCTGTGACATTCTTAATAATGATTTATAAAAAAATTGTTTGCCTACCTTTAATGTTTCGTTCTTTCAGACAAAACCAAAACATTGTAAATAAAGCTACATCTAGAAATGCCAAAAAACATACCTAGTGTTTCATTTAAAAAAAAACATAACTTTGTATTGTAACTTTTTTTAATGTAATGTTACATAAATAAGGTCGGTTTACAAAAAGCAAATTAAAAATTTTGTTGTTGTTAAAAGTTAATGCGCGATTAACCCGTGAATCTGAGCATCTGGTTGGTTCAATTTGGTCATGTGATCTTTTAATTGCAATTAACTTAAAGACGCTTCAATATATCGACCCTTAATTTTTTATACAGAGTTTGAAATTTTTCAACATTTTTGAAATGAGATGATTGTGATTTTTTATCGTACAAAGTAAACATAATGAGGTTGAAAGTCAGTTAATGATTTGTTGGTTGCCTATGATCCTTGTCCGCATGTAAGAGCAGTGGGCTGAAAATTGCCAGGTCTCATAATTTCACCCTTTCCCAATGATGCCTTTTGTTTGACAATGATTTGTTAACAGTTTTTTAAATCTAGTCAAGTGGAGCACTTATTACTTTTCGTTAAAAAAAAGGTCGAAAAAATAAATCTATTGGAGTCGTCAAAATTTCTGGAAGTAACCTACCTATGTTAAAAGTTACAAATTTTGCAGGTCTAAAATACAAAATACGTCTACAAATTGTGCTGTGTCAATTAAAAAGACAAAATATGGTTTTGCAAGACGTCGGAATTACTAAATTCGAAAAAATATTACAAGAAACAGCTCACCTACTTTTAATACAAAGTGTTTTTATCGAAAAATCGTTGCTATATTGTATTTTCTATATTATTATAAAATGATGTGACTTTTATTAGGAAATACTTACATACAATTTCAATGCTTTCCACCGATGTTTGTATACCACTTTATGCACAACTGCATATTAATTTTCGTAAAAAAATAAAGAAAAACGTACAATGTGGCAGTTTTTATTTATTACGTCGTTAAATTTATTGAAATGGAAAATTTAGAAGGAGAATTAATGTTTTATTAATTATTTAAATTACATAGGTTTGAATAAAATAGTATATTAAGCATCAAGAACGGTAAGTTCTTAACGTTCGTAATGCTTATGATATTTTTTGCGCTATTGATTTTTGTTAGTTTTTTTTTAATAAAACATCTAAAAAATGTTTTTTGAACGCCAAAATACTTCGCCGAAAGAAACTTTTTTGAATGCTTACCGACTTAGCAAGTAGCAACAATAAACAAAATACTTACCAACGAGTTTGGGATAGCAACGAGTAAATATAACTTACTGTCTTGGAAACAGACGTGGTAAACAATGAAATAGAGCTCAATCGCGCAAAAATGTATTTTGTATCACGTTTTTTGTTTTTTTTTCTGGTTTAATAACGCATAAGAATATATTAATTTTTAAATTTATTAATTTTCCTTTAACAATTAATTATATTCGATATATTACTTCTTCATTGATCATCCTAGGATAAGAAACTGAGAAAACCTAAGTAGGTATATTAGCTTTGAAATGTGTAATATTTAATTTTTGAAAACAATATATAATAAATAGACGGTTTTCTCTAAAACACGTTGTCAATCACAAATACACTTATCTTGGAATTTTGTCAATTTTGATATTATTTTGGTACATACATACAATAATTTTTCAATTTAGTAAAATTTCTGATCCAATTATTATTTCTGCGATATTGAAGCGGATTTTAGATTTTAGAATTTAAATGTAGATTTAAGTTATACAATAAAATAATTTGAGTGTAGTATGTACCTACCCCATTGCATTTGCAAGCAGTTCGGCGTTGGTGTAGGTACTAGCGTTTCAATTAAATTTTCGATTGAAAGATGGTCTTTCTGAAATTAAGTTAGCAACACTGAATAATACATTAGACACAGATATGCACTAATTTATGTAATAAGGTAATAACATGTCTATTTATTTGGAAAATAACATACAAGGTAAACAAAAAGTATGGAAACAAGCGTCTTTTTTAATCCTTGCCTTCGGAAAATAATTAATAAAAATCAAAGTATGACTGTGGTTTGAGAATGAAATTTTGTTTTGTTTTTGAGTTATATGATTTTTTTCAAAATGACAATTTATATAAATCAAATAAAATGTAATCCTTAAATAATAGTCTTTGTAAAAAAAAGGTTTTCAATAGGTTGACATTTCAAAAGATTTCAAGAATAAAATTAACATTTTTATCGTGTACTTTATTATTCATCAATTAGTTTTTTCAAAAAATAAATAGTTTAAGCAAAAAACATTTGATTTCTGTTTATCTGAATTCTGGTATGTATTAAGAACAAAAATAAAATATCTATAACAAAATTTAAAAAAAAAATACGGATAGGTATGTAATACATAATAAAGTAAATCTATATTTTCCATAAACTTGCCTTGTTGTTATTGAATATTTACATTTCATAGCCAACATACATACATCACCTACATTTCTGTTCAGAAATATTGCCGTAATTTATTATCTGAAGTTATCTTAAGGATAAAAAAAATAAATAACTAAATCTGGGTCATGCAATTTCTGTTTACGTTTAGAAAAATGTAGATCCCATATTGTATAATGTAGATCTATGTTCTAGATTATTACTTATAAACTGATGCATTTCCACTAAAAAATATTTAAAACATTTTCCATTATCTTATAAAAAAATGGATAAAAGCAAATTGATAAACCATGTATCATGTGCGCTTATATCCAATATTGAAGGTATAATCTAATAAAAGTACATACACAAGAAATGTAAATATTAACCATATGTTGATAGCATCCCATAAGTATAATCAATATCACAGGTTGAATGAAAATTGAATGAATTTTTACAACTTTTCAAAAATGTATCAATTTTTGGAAGCTGGTATAAAATTAAGAATGGTAAAAAATTTAAATAAAAACTAAAATTAGTAGATACCACATTATTTCAAATACAAAAATTTTAGTGTTTATGATTTTGTAATATGTTCAAAAGTGCTTGTGTTGTAATGTATATCTATACACTTGTAGATGATATTTAGTACTCGAAAGTAATTATAAGAACTTAGAAAATTAAAAAAAAAAAACTTAAAAAAGGCGTTTAAAGACCCATTTTTCCTTTTCCCACCTGTCAGTTATTGCTATACGTGTTTGGCATATTAGAACCTTATCATATTTGTTCTTGTCTATGTGTATATAAGGCTCGTCCACCTGGCATCATAGATTGACGAACTATTGATAAGGGAAGCTTATCAAAATGATTGGAGTCAATATGTGAGGACAGTTCAATTGAAGTAGTGTAGGAGTGTACTTGTATGTCAGCTCTCCAAAGTGTACTCTTGAATACCCACAATTAAAAATGTCTAATGGTGGATATGAAGAATGTTCCACTTATGATAACTCCTGGCACATCATACCGCCGGATTATGTTCACATGGACGATGAATATCGATACACGTAAGAGCTTTAAACTGAATTTTTTCTAACGGCGTTTCATTATGAATGAAGCCGGATTTTACTACGAGTTCGAGGGTGGTCTTTGGCTTTGGCGACTAGCAGTCTGCGTTGTGAGAAATCTACCTGCTGTTCATTCTTTAACACAGGTGTCCCTCGTGGAAGTTTTATTTAGCCTATTAGGGTTTTGTCGGCCTTTGAACGTTTCAAGGATCCGGTCGGTCTAAAGAGTTTAAATATTATTTTTTTGCCTTAATAAATCCTGTTAGTTGGACGGAGGAGGACTTTCTGGGTATTTCAAATTTGATTTCAAAAATTCTCACAACTTGGATTAGTACAAATACACTTTTTTCTTATTTTCTTAATTTTATAGGTGATATATTTTTTTCCATTTCAAGAATTTCAATTGTTCTGAGGTCACAGTAAAATAAAAAACTAGGTACTAAGGGTAGAATTTATTTAAATGGAACGTCAAATTTTTATGTAACTTTAATTAACAAAAAGATCGTTTATTTCTTTACCCAAGTACAAATTTCAAAAATTTTCTAAATTACAGTTGAAACTATTGCTATAATCCAAACTAATTATTGCAACTGGTATCTGGTTTTAGGATTTTTTTGATTTATTTTTTTATAATACAGAAAATATTTATCTTTATTAACATTAATTAATAAGGCTCGGATTATATGTACGAAAAATTTGTAAAATATTCGTATATACCTACCTATATGCACGTATTTTCACAAAAATATACACAAAATATTAAGAAATTTGCTCCAATATATGCCAAATATGCATCAATATGCAAAAATTTTTATCCTCGAATACACTAAACTTTTTATTTTCGTCATCTTGAACTGCACACAATAAATAAAAGAATAAATAAATTGGTTTGGCCTATTTTCATAACCTAGTAATTAACCCTTTCTAAGAAATCTGTACTTTTCAGATCAGATCACTTTAAATAATTTTGCTAAAATTCATTTGCAGGCAACTACTTATACGCATAGAAAGATTTATTCGTTTTATACCAGGTGAATAGAAACTATGGAACCAAACGTTTTTTGCTTAAAGTATTTATTTTTTGAAAAAATTAATTGATGAATTATAAAGTTCTATAAAAATGTGTTGTTTTATCAAAAATAAAATTTCTCAAAATTTTTATTATTCTGTTTTTGAGTTCTACAAAAATATTAATTTTTTTAAATGGCAACCCACCAAAAAAWMAWYWTTYTYWTSAWGRWSRTGATCTAAGGGATTACAACTAGGTATCTACTTAATATTAAATATTTTTTTTTTACATATATTGCAATTTAGACAACAAAAATCGAATAATCAAATAAAACAAAATTTTGTTCTTAAAATAAGATCATTTTTTTATATTACTTAATTTATATTAATTATTATTTTTTGGAAACAAATGATTTAAAAAAAAAAAACGCTTGGTTCAATATTTTATGTTCACCCAGTATAAAACGAATTTTAAAAGGAAACACTTAGCAGAGTACTAATTTTTTGAATTTGGCTTATACATTTTTCTTAAACTGTCCAATTTTTAACTTGAACTGAAATTTTTAATTGGAAATTAGTGATTTGAAGAAAATATGCACAAATATGCAATATTTCCTAAAATATGCATTAAGTTGCCAAAATATGAACAAAAACACGACTAAACGCGTCACACCAAACTTTTATTTAAAACACAGTTTTATTCTCACCTGAGGATGACCACTTTGTGGTTGAAACGTGTATCTTTTAAATAAAAGTTTGGTGTGACGGGCTAATCGTATTTTTGTTCATCGTAGTTGTTGCCAAAATATGCAAAATATGCATATTTTCATTTCATTTTATTTAATCAAAAAACCTTAGATATGCATTTAGAAAACTTAAAATTTTGTTGATATACCTCTTAATAACAAATATGCATTTTGTATATAATCCAAGCCTTATTATTGAATACCTATTGTAATAATTTAAAAGTTTGGTGAATTTAAGACAACGAAAAAATGTGAATTTTGAAATGAGGTTACTGTAAAACTTTATTGCGTTTTAGTTCATGCTTTGCTGCATTTTTAACTAAAGTGTATTTTTTAATCATCATCATCAATGACAATCTGGCCTCCTCATTTATTATAACGGTAGCAAGAAAAATATTTTTTTACCGTCCTTGTAACAAAATAATTCCAATAATTCCAATAATTGAACTAAAATAATGCCGGAATATCAAAAAATGAAATACAGTATGAAATAAAATAATAATCCACATTTGAGACAAATTTTATGACATTTGATATACCTACCTAGTAATTTTAGGGTTGATATTTAATGCATTTAAAAAAATAGTTTTGATATTGCTATAATTTTTCATAACAAAACATTTTCTTTTTATGTTGACAAAAAAGTAAAAACACCACATATAGATGTTGAAATTCTATATGCTGTTACAATAAGACGCTTCAAATTATTTAACCCACCAATAAATGTCTGTTTATAACCCCGTTTCTAAGCAACATCACTGTCCATAATCGAAAATGCTAATGATTGAATTCCATTCGTAACAAATAATAGCGTCGTCAAGTTCGTCATTACCCTCAAAGAGTTAAACGTCGTGAGTTTGAATCTAAATAGGACAAAAGCCGTCTAAGCAACGGTGTCCTCCTCAAAGAGCGGCACTCGAGCAAATCCCCGAGCCCCGGAACCCACATTTGCGCCAGTCGCACTGCCATTGGCCGTCGTAGACTCCACCCCTGGAGTTCCGACGGCTATTGGTTGTCGTGAGAGCCGTCGAGAGGCCTGAAGAGCCCATCGAGTGAAGGGCGCCTCTTCAGCACTCTTCAGTGGCTCTCCAGAAGCTCTCGACAACTCGCGTGCCGGTCCACTTGAGCCGATAACAGTGCGGTCGGTGTTAGTGACAGTGGAAAAGGTGGCCGAGGAAGACAAGCCTCGGGACGACGCCATGCCTCCGGCGTCGCCGGTGGCACAAGCCGCCACCAG